GTGTGGAAGGCGCCTCGGGAGTCCAGCAACAGGAAGAGCTCCCCCTGGGTCTTGGGGCTGTTCCCCGTGAAGAGATAATGCTCCAGCGGCACAGGGCGGGCGGCAGTGCTGACCACGTAGATCTGGCGGCGCTTCAGTCGTCTGAGCGGGAAGGAAACCGGTTGGGGTGGGGGTGGGAAGGAGCAGCCCACATCCCCACCCACCTTCCGCCTCTGGCCTCCCCCAGTCTTTTCTGGGAGCCGGACTGGGAGGCTGTCCCCGTCATCGTATCTCTCAACATTCAAAGTGGTCTGGGCCCAAGTGGGCCATGTTCCCCAGACCCACCCCGGCCCCCTCTCCCCCCACGGTCTGGCCACGCTCCCTGCTGTGGCAGTCCTCGCCCCCAGCCCCAACCAAGGGAGGACCACAGCCCCTTCGCCCAGCACCCGGGACACACATCTCACCCAATCCAGTCAGCAAATTCAAGGGCGTTGGGGACAGTGGCACTCAGAAGGATGATGGAGACATGGTCAGGGAGCATGATGAGCACCTCCTCCCACACGACCCCACGCTGGGCAGAGAGGGAAGACAAGTCACGGGCAGCTCAGAGGGGCTGTCCTGCTCCTAGGCTTCCACTGGGGGCAAAGGCAGGGAGGTTTCAGGGTGTGTGGCGGGAGCTGCTGAGCTGGCCCCAGGGAAGAACTGCTGGTCTGGGGCCCCATGGCCTCCTGCTCCTCACCTCAGCGTCGTTGATGTAGTGAACCTCATCGAAGATGACCCACTCCAGGTCCCGGATGACGTCTGAGCCGCTGTACAGCATGGAGCTGGGGGAGACCGCAGGCTGACTCCCCAGTGGCTCCTGTCTCCACCAACCCAGCCAACAGCTCCAGAGCAGCCTCGCCTTCCTGAGCCAAACCCACCCGTGCCGAGTGCCCATCTCTCACCGAAGGATCTCTGTCGTCATGATGAGGCAGGAGGCCTCTGGGTGCAGCTGTACGTCCCCCGTGAGCAGCCCCACGTCCCCGAATGTGTTTCGGAAGTCTCGGAACTTCTGGTTACTCAGAGCCTTGATAGGGGAAGTGTAGATGGTGCTGGAAGAGGGTGAGGTTAGCCAGTCACTCCACACAGACTGCGGTCAGCACCTCCTCTCCCACCGAGCCCTCCCAGCAGCATGCCGCAGCGCTCAGGCGCCCTCCTTTCTTCACCCAAACAGCCCTCATTCTCCTTCATGACGTGACCAAGGAAAAATTCTGTCCCTCGACCCCTTCCTGAACTAAATGCATGCAGGTCATGCTTCTAAACTCTCTCCCCACACCTTCTCATTTCCTTCCAGGCCCGTCTCCATTCCTCCCCCAACTCTCCCATCTAAAAGATGAAGTAAAGCCAGGCTGGCATGGCCCAGTGGTTGAGCACGGACCTATGAACCAGGAGGTCATGTTTTGATTCCCAGTCGGGCACATGCCCGGGTTGCAGGCTCCACCCCAGGGTGGAGCATGCAGGAAGCAGGGGATCAATGATTCTCTCTCATCACTGATGTCTGTCTCTCTCTCTCTCTCTCTCCTTCCCTCTCAGAAACCAATAAAAATGTATTTTTAAATAATGAATAAAAGATGAAGTAAAGACATGGGAAGAGAGGAGATTTAGAAGGATGCGGGAGAAAGCAGGGACGGCTGAGGAAGGGAAGGTGGTACCGCGTCATGTGCTTCTGGGCAAGGGCAATGGCGTATTCGGCCACAACCGTCTTCCCTGCAGATGTGTGAGCCGCCACAAAGACCGAGTCGTGCCGTTCCAGGTGCAGGATGGCCTGTTTCTGGAACACATCGGGCTCAAATGGCCACTGTGGGAGAGAGAACTAGATGAGGGCTAAGGAAGGGAGGGGGCCTTCCTACCTCTGGCTCCTGGGGCACGCAGGGCAGTAGAAGGCCAGAGTGAGCGAGGCTGGGACTGAGGCCCAAGACTGGCCTGGAAGGCATCTGGCCTCTGGTGAGGAGGGCAGACAAGGCAGCCGGCTGGGAGGAGGCGGGGAGATGTGAGGCCGGGCCACACTACCTGGAAGGCTGGCTGGGGGATGAGGCGGTAGAAGTCACCAACGGGGGAGGTGACATCCACAGGAATGGCCCACTGCTCCTGAGGAAGGGGCTTGGGGGGCTCTGAAGGGAACACAACTGTGGACGCTTCCTGGAAAAGGAAGGGGTGGGAGCGATAAAGATACAGCCAGAAAGCTCCCCATTACCACTCCTCCCAAAAGATGCTCCAGTCTCTCCCGTAGATCCAAGCCAGCCAGCCCACCTCCCGGGGCCAAGGCCCCCTTCTTTCCTGTTTCAACTGCCCAGAAACACCCACCTTCAACACTAGGTCCTCCAAGCTGCTTGCTCTGGCCACGGGAGCGCTGCGGGGAGAGGCTGGAACAGTGTCTCCTCTGGTACCTCCTGGCTGTCCCACTGCCTCCCTCTCGTCTTCGTCGCCCCCACCCAGATCCAGGGGCTCTAGCAGACGGCTGAGGCTGAGCAACCCAGGCGCTGGAGCTGGGTGATCTGAGGAGCCAGGCAAAAAGGGAGACCCAGTCCGTCCATCTCCGTTCTACAGGAGAAGGGCACCACTTCTACACGCCCGTCCCAGAACTCACCCTTTGGTGCAAAGTCCACGCCTCTCTTGAAGCCAGGTGGGATGGTAAGGAGGTCTGCAGGACGGACAGAGCGCGTCAGGGCCACTGCGCACTCCTGAGCAAGTCCTACGTCACGCAGACTAAAGAATGCCATGGCAGCACGGGCGTTGTAGCTGGGGACAGTTGTAATAGTTTTCCAACACGTGACCCCGTAACGTTTGTTACGGAAGGGGGACCTTTTCCTAACTTGATCAAAGGCACGGAAGGGCTAGCAGCAGCCCAGTGCTAGGCCTGGGCCCCTCGTCCTCAGGGCCGACTTGGAGCCCTGCCTCCCAAGGGTCCAGCCTGGCACCACCTCACCTTTCTCAAAGTCTATCTCCTCCTCAGCCTCCTCCCGGGTGCTCAGCTCTGTGAGGGCGGGCTCATCCATTCCACCTGGGGAGAGGGTGGACAGGAGGAGTCATGAGGGGGGATACGGGAACCCTTCCCTGGAGACTGAGGGCTCCCTCCCCTACCATCTCATTTCCACAACAGTTACCTGGCCAGAAAGGGTACTGTGTTGGATTCCCCCACAAGGACTGGGAGATGGGCCCTGGTGGCCGGCGAAGAGATAAGGAGGTGGTGGCCGACAGGTCTGTATTCTCCAGCAGGACCTGAGGTGAGCGATCAGAGCCGAGGCTGAGCTTGCCTCCGACCCTCCTTCCCCAGCCCTGCTGCTCGTGGCCCCTGAGCCCTTACCTCCTTAAAGCCCAGTATCTGGCCCGTGGTTGGTTGTCTTTGGGCTTGCAGGTCGGAGGGGACTGGGGCCCCCAGTACAGTGAGGAGAGACCAAGGATCCATCTTCCTCTGCCATTTTCTAGAGAGAAGGAAGTAATTTTCAAGTCTTCTTTCTCCTCTGTCTCAGCTTCCTCCATGGGCCCATCTCCCTAGGCCAGGCCCCTCCGACCCTCACCGAGCTGAGTGCTCCAGGCCATGCAGAGGCAGCCAGGCTGGAGACGACAAGAACCACTGCTCGGCTTCTTGCTGCAGATCTGGGGCACAGGGAGGGAGGCCGTGGGGAAGCTGGGGCCAGGCGAGATGAGAGACAGTGATGGGACTGGTGTTAGAGCAGAAACGGCAGATGACCCAGACATACTAGGACAATCAAAGTGAACGATGTTTCCCAAAGGCTGTGACACTTGCAGGGACAAAGGACCTGCTGGTTAATAGTACAGATTTCAGAAGCTGGGGCTGGACCCAGGAATGTGTATTCTTTAAAAGCTGCCCCACTGATTATGAGGCACCTGAAATTTGAGAATCACCAGCTTTAGGGAAAAGGGCCCAGACCGAAAGATGAAGAGTGAGCTGGCATCTCAGCCACCAAGTGCTTGGAGACAGAAGGGCCTGCACGAGAACAGACACACTGGAAAGCGCAGTTGGGGAGCTAAGACACCCCCAGAGCGCCCCGCTGGTCCTCAAGGGGCTCCCACCCGAGCAGCACTAGGCTGGAGTCCGCCCGGCACCAGGCCGGCCCGATGACAGGTGTCGACAGAAAAGCGGGTCATGCTCGTCCTACTGAAAGGAAAGGGTTTTGAGCCCAGTGCGGGTCAAAGGTTAGGGTCATAAGTCACTCACCGTGCTCTCTGGAGCCCCCGGCACGTTCCGCAGCGCCCAGCGCCCAGTGCATCCCAGCTCCACAGCCCGAAGAGGCAGGTCCAGGGGGTCCGGGGGAGGCAGCACTACGGGAGGAAGATCAGAGGTCAGGGGTCAAGGGTAGATTCCTGTCTACTCCTTCGTTCCACCCCCGCCCCCTCACCGAGTCGCTCCGTCTCCATCATCTGGGAGCCACAGCAGCTGCCCCGCAGCCGGAAGTGCAGCGAGGAGCCGCGGTAAGCCCCGCCCCCGAAAGGGCGGAAGTGAAGGCGACTTCCGCCACCCACCGGCCGAGTGCCTGGG